GTGTGTGTGTGTGTGTGTGTGTGTGTGTGTGTGTGTGTGTGTGTGTGTGTGTGTGTGTAAGGGATGGTAGGCAGCAGCAGGGTGCATCTGTAGGGAGGAGGAGAGGGGATGAGTGTGATGTCAGCTGTGTCCTGTAGCTCTCAGGGCCGGAAGTTGCAGGAGAGATGGGTGTCTCTGGGATACCTCATTCACAGCTAAATAAGAACTAAAACTAGAAAGACCCTAACTCCCCTTGGGAGCCCATTTCCCAAAGACTAGATCCTAGATCAGGGCAAGATGGTGGAAAATGTGTGCAGCCAAGGAATCATAACAGACATCAGGCTGGGTTCAGAAGTAAAGGAAAAGGGCGTGAGGCTCAGACAAGTCATAGCTCTGTTATAAAAAATACCTTTGGGGTGGGTGAGGGAGGGATCAGGCAGGGTCAGGGACATTCCAGAAGCATCCATAGGAAAGCTTGGGGATGGGAGGAAGGGACCTCAGGTTTTGTTGATGCGGAGTTTGAAGGCCACACGGCCGGCGAACTTGTCTCGCTCATCATCTGTGGCAATATTGGCGGCGTTGATGCGACATTCCACATTCACCTCTACATTGGGAGTCACATTCAGGAACTTCACTGCCACCAGGGGCTGTGTGTAGTTCACCTGGGCCAAGGGTGGAGAGCAATGGTCTAGGCCCATGGGATAATCCATCTCCTTCCCAAGGGCCCCAACCCCTGGAGAAGCCATCATCCCAGACCTCCCAAGGGACTTACATGGAACTTTTTGCCATAGTAGGGAAAGTACATGAGGTCGATGTTACCACTGGCAGGGAACATGACAAAGCTGCCGAGATGCGCAGCATCTTCGTCTCTCTGTGGGGGCGTAGGAGGGTAAGAGGGAGAGCATGTTAGGGATGGCCGGAACAGCTCTGCAGACTTCTCTTTGTTCTTCTTTCACCCCAAATGATTCTGCCTCCAAATGTTTCCCTTGAGCTATGAGTCTCTGTGTGTTTTTGTGTGCACAGAAGAGGGTGTCCTATCTCTCATCAGCCTGGGAAGTCCGAAGGGTGCTAATGATACTGAACCTCCTACTCCACTCCCACCTCAAGTTCTTACCCCATCCTCAGGAATCAGTTTCTGGAGCAGAGCCAACAGAGAACAGATAAATGAGTAAGGGCTCAGTTGGAAGAGAAAGGGTGAAGGGAGAGGGACAGGACGTTTCTAGAGGAAAGAGGGGGTGCAGGTTCCAAGGATAATTTGGTGGTGGCAGATGGTGCTAACAGATTAGCAGCTACCAGGTACCTAAAAAGAAGTGAGAGGCAGGAAAGATAAGGGGGAGAGCAGAAGACATGGTTATCAAGGGAGAGGGTGGAAGGGTTAGGGAGAGAAGCCAGAGTCTAGGAGCTAGGTGCAGTCAGGGGTGTCTGTCCACATGAGAGTGGACCTCTGCATCCTCAAGAAGCAAGAGAGGTCAGAGCCCCTTGGAGTTCAAACCACTCTTACCCCCTTGTCCCTATGGTGATGGGGCCTCTGGGAGCAAGGAATATAGGGAGAGACAAGAAAATTAGGTGGAAATCATGATGGATAAATTATGATGGTAATCATGATGGATAGACAAGGCCCAGCAGACTCACCTTCCCTGCACAGGTAACATTCATGCTCTGGTTTGCACCTGCATAGAAGTTAATGACCTGGAGTACAGAGAGAATATGGTGAGGATTAGAAAAAGAAGTTGTCAACGACACGTCTCCAACCTACCCATCTATGAATCTCAGCTTCCAATGGCCCCATCTCTTCTGTTCTCACAGCTACTCAAACATCCATAAATTTCTCTAATGCCCAATAGTCCCAGTGAAGGAAAGCAACTGTTAGCAGTTGGTAACCCATCTCCCTCCTCTATTCTCCGTGGAGATCAAGATCATAGGTACCCGGTTCATTTTGATGAAGACACAGGGCTGCCCAGTGCTGTAACCATAGTGGGTGGGGTCCCCGATGCCAGAGCAATCGCCCAGCTGGGTGCGGTTGAACCGGCAGGCACGCTTCGGGTAGTTGAGGACTCCATTATCTGGCTGTTCATAATAGCGCCCAGGGCGGCAGACATCATTCTTTTGGGCTTGGATGGAGTCATTGTAAGCTAAGAAAATGGGAAAGAGAGAGTCATGGACCTGAATGAAATTCCACTTCTGGGTCACTCATCTTCTGTCCAGGGTCCCAGACAGGGTCCCCCACATTGCCAGCCCCCACTCACGCTCCAAGAACTTGTTGAGCTTCTGAACATGCTGGTCCCAGCTTTCAGTGTCGCTGATGTTGACAATGACATCAAGGTTCTCAGTTTTGGGGCGAATCATCAAACCTATTGCCAACAAGGACAGGAGTGGGAGTATATAAGATGAAGGACTACGTACAGAGGGAAGATGGATATAGGGAACACAACGGTTAGCAGTAAGGTAAAGAACTGAGGACATCATCAAGAGAAGAAGACGTCCATAAACAGCTGTCTGCCACCCAGGTCATACAACAATCAACTGTGAGGAAATGGAAAACAAGGCAGACCCCAGGAAGTACTTCCCAGCACATGGGGGTGAGATCGTCAGAAGCGTACCACTGAGATGAACTAGAAGCCTGAGTCCCTGCTGAAGGCTTGGGGGCAAAGGGCAATTAAGTGGCTGATAGAGGAGCCACATCACTCACCAGGCGTGGCCAGGCGGTCCTGGTACTTGGGGGTATGGTCAGAGACAGTCTGCAGCATCACCCACATGGTGAGGGTGAACATGGCTGTGAGGAAGCCATAGAAGACGAGGTAGAAGAGGAGGATAAAGGCTAGGGAGGAGAAGACAGGGTCAGCAGGTTTCAAGCCTCCCTCGACCCCACCTGTCCCTATGCACCCCACACCCACTCAGAGGTACTATGCAGAGGACCTCTGATGGGGATGGGCAGCAGAGCCTTGGGGATGTCTTAGAACCTTCCCCCTGGGAGCAAAATGAGACAAGCTGGAAATAGGCAGTCATGTCTGGCTTTCAGCCATGATTCCCAGCCCCCGCCTGGTCCTAGGGCACAGCAAAGCCCGGCTTTGTAGAGGCCACCAGAGACCTAAAGTCCCGTTGCTGGGACAACTCCAAGTATACGCAGCAGTCATTTTGCTTCAAATTACATTCCCAATTTCCCAACCATTCATGGCCCCAAAAAGGCACATCTGTTACCGCTGTATTGGTGCAAAGGCTTAAGGCACAACAGACTTTGACTTTTTAAACTGGCACTGGCCACCCTTCACAACCAAACTTCCATTCCTCAGAGTGTGGAGCCTTGCACTCAAAGAGTAACATCTCTCTGCTGGCATCCCACAGAAGCCAACCTTGAATGTAACTTCTACCCAGCTACAAAATCTCTTAGAGACAGCTGTCCAGAACCTTCAACTGTCACCCCACCCCCAACTCAGGCACAGCACTCAGGGCACGGGGTAAAGGCAGAATCCCCCACAGCCTTCCCAACACTCTGTAAACACACAATGTCACTTCTCAGTCTAATGTAAGTTCTTGCTGTTTCCACCATCCTACACCCCCAGTCCAGGGGGTCCATCTCAGAAGACTCTTCCCCCATGAAGCTGCCTCAGGGTCTCCAGAACAATCATGGAGCTGGACTTGCAGTTACCACCTCAAGGGCCCCTAGATGGACAGACAGGCTGATGTTCAGTGAGTGTGGGTGAACTGCAAATTGTGTCACACAGGTCCCCTGGGCTTTGACTTCCCAGCTTGACAATCCCTGAGGAGAAATTCCTTCCCTCACCTGTACCCATGCCCTGGACCAGACACAACTCCCTCCATACCCCTGAGTGAGGGCAGAGAAGTCACCTCAACCAGACACACTAGGTAAGAGGATGTACACATCTCACCACGAGTGACCACTCCTCCCTCTGTCTGGACATTCCCGCTGCACAGCCAGTCTCTACCCAACCTCATGTTGTCACCCCTCCCCAACAGTCCCCCACCCACAACGCAGTCACAGGAGGCTCCCAAATCTCAACGGTGGGATAGTCAACTTCCGCTGTAAAGAACCCTCCAACCCCCACCCCCAAGCTCTCCAAGACCCACCCCCTCTTGAATGTTCCCAGGGTCCAGGGGGTGGGCACCAACTAAAAATAGACGGGCTTGGCTAGCAAGTGAGAGCAGGAGGGAAGGAAGGGGTGCGCTTCTGGGGAGGGGGAGAAAAGACGTGAGGTGTAGCCGCCCCGAGAAGGAAAGAGCACAGGCGCCTTGGCGCGGACACGCGCGCAAAGCCCGCGACCCCCCGCCTGAGGGGGCTCCACAGGGGGCAGGAAGGCAGCAGTGACCTACTTTCTCCGCCTCCGCAGCGGCTAGCCAGGGAGATTAGACTGGTGATCAGGGCCCCCTCCCAGTTCAGAGCCGGGCAGGGGGGCCGAACGCTACGGACCCGGGAAGGGACCTGGGGAGGGGCAGGAGGGACCTTATGCCCTGGGGCGTCGCCCGCTGGACCCACCCCCTCCCATCGTCTTCCCAGCCCGGCGTACCCCAGCTGGTCCCGGTGCGGCCCATGAACTGGTGCGTCCTCGGGTTCCACACGAACTCCTTCCACTCCTCAACCACCTGCCCGCAGCTCTTCTTCTCTTTCTGGATGACCATCTTGGCAGCGGGAGACGAGTCCCGCGCAGGGCGGGGGGCTGCGGAGAAGCTGGGGTGCGGCGCGCTGAAGCCCCCCCTCCACGCACTGGAACGTGCAGGGAGCAAAGGCAGCAGGGACAAGGGAGACCCCCCTCAGATATGCAGCTGCCGCAAATTCCGGGGTGCACCGCGAAGCGCTGCGGGGTGTTGACAGAGCGACGAATGTACGGATCCTAGGCCCCCCGACTGCGATGAAAAAGGGGGTTGTCAGGGAAGGGGAGAATAAAAAGGGGGAACGGGTGCGAATACAGCTTTACCCCCACCCAAACCTAAAAACAAAACGAAAAGGGGGTGCAAAAATAGACGGCTGAAAAACCCAAGCGAAGCTAAGAAAAAATCGGGGTGCAAGGAGGCCGGGAGGGGTGGGGGAGGGGGCCTTCGAAATTAGAGATGCAAAGAAGCTGTGGAGCGGGGTCGGGTAACCGCTCAAGACTCTCGGACTAGCGGAGTATGCAGCAGCAGTGGTGGCTCGGCCGCGGGAGTCGGGGGGAGGGGGGCACGCGCAGTTGGGTGACAGCCAGGGATGGGGGTCCCCCAGGCGGAGGCTCCGCTCCTCAGCAGTGCGGGGTTGGCCGACTCCGCGCGCAGTCTTTATACTCGGTGGCTCTGTGGGTGCCCGCCCCTTCCCACCCCCAGAAGCTCCGCCTCTCTGCCACTGGTCCGGACGGCCTCATACATATGCAAATAAGGAGAGAGGGATTGGGCAGGTCCCTAGCCTCCTCTTCCGATCCAGGGGGGTTCACCCGTACCCCAACCCCAGGTACTAGTCTGGATCCGGGTGGGTGGAGGAGATAGAGGGCGTGTCTGATGGAGTAGTGGAAAGATAACCCCAGAGAGACTCCGAGTCTGAGACCGAGAAACAGATATGTGCTTAGGGGTGGGGGCCCCTTGAAGGGAGTTAGAATGAAACCAAGACCAAGGAGACAGACTGGGCAAATGTGAAAGGAATAGAGGAAGAGCCTAGACCAAGAAATCCTGAGATGGGGAGCCCTGGAGAATGCTAGACCAGCCAGGATGGAAGCTAGAACAGGTCACATACAAATGGATAGGGGTCACAAGAGGGAAGTTACTCTGGTAAAAGCTGCTACTCTCCCCCCCCCCACCATCACCACCAATTTCTTCTCCAGCCTCACAACCCCTTCCCCTCATCACCTCGATTTCCTCACTTGGAAGGGTTTTCCCATCTTCCTACCACATATTTGATGAAGCCCTTCCCACACCCTGTTCCAAGGCCTGGGCATCGCTCTCAGACCCTAGACCTGGAGCCATGTCTCCTTAGGTGTTCTGTTTATGCCCATTTCTCTTTTTCTTGGCCCATTTAGGTCAGCAAATATTTACTGAACACCCACTTACCTTGTGCACTGTGTCCCTGGCAAGGTAAAGTCAGTTCTCACAGGACTCAAGAGACCCACAAACCAGAAGGGTGTATAAGAATCTCTAAAGATCATTTGTGGGCCTTCCCTGGTAGCACAACGGGTTAGACTATGAAGCTGTCTGCAGCCACTGCAGCATGGATTTGACCTCCCAGCCAGAGAGGTGACCCATGTGGCACAGCAGCCCTCTCCTGTCTCCTCTGCAGACCAGACCGACCAGAGGAGAGCTGTGGGGCCTGGGCAGAGAGAAGGTGTGGTTTCTCCTCCCAGCTTGGGCATAACACTGGCACCTAGTGGGCACTCACTGAGTATTTGGCAGATGAATGGGTGAGCACGTTGTTGTGACCTTAGGTGAGTTGTATGTGTCCCAAGTAATCTCTCGGTTTCACATTTTTGGTAGAAAATAGAGAAATTACAAGCTCCTCTGGTGGCACAAGGGGTTAAGTCTCAACAATATGAAATTATAGGCAGCCACTGAGCTACAAGTTGGATCCCCAGCCAAAGAGGTGACCCACATGGCATGTCAGACCTGACCTGTCCCCCAGTTCTGTATGCATAGATAAATAAATCTTAAAAAAAAAAAAAAAGGTGACACCATATGGGTCACCTCCCTGATTGGGGACCAAACTGGTTCCAATGTGGCTGCTGATAGCTTCGCTATGCTGTGCTTTAACCTGTTGCACCACCAGGGAGGGCCCGCATCTTAAAATTCTTAACGTTTTTTGTCTTTGAACCTGTGTTTTGTAAGTTGGATGGGACAATGGAGCATGCCTGTGAGCAGAGGAGATAAGCATGGTAGGCTGTGTTGTTCGCATACAACATTCATGGTGAGATTCTGTGAACACAGAACTCTGGTGGACCCACCACTGATGGAAGGCCAGTGAGACTCAGTGAGGTACGTGTGTGATGTCTGCAGCTGAGGAAATGGGATGCTGATAACTGAGGAGCCACACTTTCCACTGAAGCAGAACCTGCTCAGAACACAGAAAGGAGTTAAGGGCATGTGGACTACAGCCTTCTATCCTCCTCCCCAGTCATGTTACTTCTCTGATTTAGCCAGCTACTTCACTGGCAATGATGACGTAGAAGGAAAGGGGCAACACATAATTCCTTTCCTTTCAGCTCATCAGTAAGTGAAAGTAGAAAAATGTAAATTTTTACTTGTTTAGAACATTAACTAGCAAATAAAAACACCATGAGGTGTCAAGAGAAGAACTATAGAAAAAGGAAAACATTTTACATTTTTTAAAAGATTTATTTCTTTATGCATACAAGAACTGGGGTACAGGCCACAGAGGGGGTACGAGGATTCACCACAGACAGAATGGGGAGCAGAACACACTGCTGAGGGGAGCAGCAGGTGAGAGAGGAGAGGTTCTCCACGCCATGTGGTTCACCTCTCTGGCTGGAGATTGAACTTGTGCTGCAGTGGCTGTGGATAGTTTCATAGTGCTGTGCTTTAAGCCCTTACACCACTAAGGGAGGACTTCTTATTTTACTTTTTTTTTTTAATATTTTACATATTAATGCTTTCTCTGCTTTCTGAACAAGGGATTCTGAATTTTCATTTTGCATTAAGTCTTATAAATTATGCACCTGATCCTGCTTTATTCCCTTCTGCAGAAAAGACTCTGGATTAATTTTCTCAAAATACAGTTTTAATTAGGCCACTCCTCAGTCAAACGTCTTCAATGACTTCCAATACTCTGCAGGATAGAGTCCTGATTCTTCAGCCTAGCTTTCAAGGAAATGCCACAATCTAGACCCTATGTCCCTCTTCCCCAGCAGGCCCCAAGTAGCCCTCCACCGGAGCTGAGCCAGTTACTCTTGGGACAGGCTGTGCTTACTCCTGACTTCACACCTTTGTCCATTTCACTCCCTCATTCTGGAAGACTGCCTACTCTTCAGAGTCCTGCCCAATTCCCATTCATTCTTTCAATGCCTATCTAATGAGAAATTGCTTGAAGCCAGGCACTGTTCTGGTTCCTGTACTCTTAAGTCTCCCATTCTAATAACTCAGAATAAGCAAACAAATTGATCATGTTAATATTATGCAGGGGAAAAAAAAATAAAACAGGGCCATGTTCCCAGATGGTCAGAGATGGCCTGACTGTGTTGACTTTTAATGTGAGGACTTAGTGGCCAAAAGGAGTCATGGAAAATGCAGGGAAGAGCTTTCAAGGAAGAAGGAAGTGGAGTGTGAAGATTAACATCCATAAGGGAAGATTGACACAGCAAGTCATACAAGAGATAGGCAAAGGCCAAATCATACAAGTCCTTGTATCCCTAAGGAAATACTTTGGACTCAAATCCAACCATCATGGAAGCAACTCTAGGGCTTTAAACAGGAGGTAACACAATCAAATTTATTTATTTTATATCTGTGTAGAAGAACTGGGGTGTAGGCCAGAGGTGCGAGGGGCTGAGATGGTCCGCCAGAGACACAATGGGGAGCAGAACAGGAGGACCTACTGAAATACACCACTGAGGGATGCAGCAGGTGAGACAGGAGAGGTCTGCTGTGCCATGTGGGTCACCTCCCTGATGGGGATTGAACCTGTGCTGCAGAAGCTGCAGATGGCTTCACAGTGCTGCACTTTAACCCCTTGTGCCACCAGGGGTACAACTTCTATACCCAAGCAATCCACAGAGATACTGAAGATATTCGCTGGTTGCTGAATTTGACTTGAATATGGACTAGCTCCTCCTGTGAGAAACTTCAAGGAAGTGATTTGCCTTTCCTTCTTCAGACAAGGGGCATCAAGAGGGTAGCCTCAGTCTGGAGAAATGAAGCTGGTCTCCTGTACTCAGCTTAGCACATGGGCCTGGGGAAGGCCTCCAGGCTTCAGAAAGCACAGTCTCTCCCTTACACCCCATGATCACTGAAAAAAAAAAATTAGTACCCACTGTGTGTTAGGGAGGGAGGAAGGGGATTCTGTGGTGAGGTTGAGGTTACTGTTGCTCCTGCTGGTTTTCTTCTCCTGTGGGTCATGAGGAGTGGGTAGTAGAGTGCAATCTCCTAAAAGCAGCTTTGGTGTCCACAAGACTGGAGCTGAGAAGGGGGATGGTCAAGTCTGAGGTGCCTTGGGGCAAAGAGTGATTACAAACCACCAACCGCTTCCTGGATCTTCATCCAATGTCTCCAGAAAAGAGAGAAAGAATAAGAGCTCTCACACTCCTACCCCCATTCCAGAACTTTTCATGAGGTCTGTGTCCCTAATGTTTCCTCCCCCAAAATCCCAGAGACTCAGTCATCTGTGTTCTGGAGAGATAGGAAGGGCTTTATTTCTTAAAGATTTATTTACTTATGCATACAAGAACTGGGGTGCAGGGCAGAGGTGGGGGTGGGGTGCTGAGAGGATTCACCAGAGACAGAGTGGGGGGCAGAATAGGCAGATCTAGTGAAATGCACTACTGAGAGGGGCAGTGGGCATGACAGGAGAGGTCCACTGAGTCATGTGTGTCAGCGCCCTGCCTTGCTGTAGCTTCATAGCACTGTGCTTTAACCCCCTGTGCCACCAGGGAGGACAGAGATAGGTCTTTCTAGAAACAAAATGTGGAAAGAAGGGAACTCTGAAACACAGATATAGGGGCTGTAGAGGGAGGTTATTATTGAAAGGGTACAGTGTTTCTGTTTTGCTGGCTAAAGAGTTCTGGAGATGGATGACAGTGACTGTTGCATTGCACTGTGGCTCTACTAAAGTCACTGAACTGTATACTTAAAAATGGTTAAGATGGGCCTCCCTGTGACACAGGGGTTAAAGTCACAAGGCTATTAAGCTATCCCCAGCCTATCAAACTACAGCACGAGGGTCAGGGAGCTGACCCACATGGCGCAGCAGACCTCTCCTGTCTGGCCCACTGCTCCCCTCAGCAGTGTGTTTCAGTAGATTTGCTCCCTACTCTGTTTCTGGTGCATCCTCTCACCCCCTGCAACCTCTGGCCCACACCCCAGCTCTTGTATGTATAAATACATAAAACCAAATCTTTTTTAAAAATGGCTAAGGTGGTAAAGTTCACATTATGTGTATTTTACCACAATTAAAAAAAATGAATAAAGGAAAGAAACAGCTGTTCCTCCCTTTTCCAGCTCTTCAGCAAGGCACACATGTCTCTCACCACATGCTCCCAGGAGCCCCCCAGGTCTGCCTTCCTCCCATTTCAGCCTGCCCCTGGTTCTGCTACAACCACACACCTCATCCTTCCCACCTGACAGGCTCAGATTTATTCCTTGAGAACTATACATGAGGCTCATGCTGCCAGCTGGCTCAACAGTTTCTCATACTGAACTCTACGTGCCAAGCACTGCACTAGGCATCTGACCTACCGCATTTATTCAAAATTTCGGTCACCCTATGTGTAGGGCAACATCCCCACTTGCAGACTGGGAAACTGAAAGATGAAGAGGTTGTCATTGACTCAAGTTCACATTTCCAATAACTCACCTCTGACGTTTGTTCCTTGGTGGCTCGTGAAACCAGTTGCCCTGGCCCTTCATAGCAATCTCTATTCAAGCTTCTTATATGTCTGTGTCTCCCTAAAACCTCCATTCTTCAGGGCCATGACCAAATTTTATTCATCTTCAGAGTCCCTGTGGGCTACCTAACACAGTGCTTGGCTTGCTGTCAGTAACTAACAAATGTTAGTTGAAGGAAAGAAAAAGAGAGACAGAAGGAGGGAGGAAGGGGAAGAGAGATGCCAATCGAATGGAGTGAGCTGCAGGGTATGCTGCCAGGCCCTGGGAAGGATTTTGGGGTGTGGGAGAGGCAGGGACACTGGGTAGTCATTGTAGGTGCCCTTGGTGGGGGTTTGGCAGAGTCTGTGTCAAAGCAAAGTCAGCCTTAATGAGAAAGTGTAGACAGCTCTGGATGGCAATCAGGAATCCTGGAATCTAGGGCAGGCTGGAGAAAGAGGTTGGGGGCACAGTGTCCTGGCCAGGGTTTGGTGGAGGGAAGGAAGAAAAGCCAGCCCTTGGGAAGTTCCTCAGGGGCATGAGGTCAAAAAGATGCCAGTCAGAACTATGCCCTTGGGGAAGGACAAGGGGGTGACCAGGCCCTTTAGCTTTTCACCCCACTAGCTCACACCTGTGGCCTCATAGTACTAGCTTCTTCGCATTATTCAGGCCTCCTTTGTGACATTGCCTCAGAAAGTCCTTCCCAGGGCCCTTCCTGGTGGCACAATGGCACAGCACTATGAAGCTGTCCAAAGCCACTGTGGCATGAGTTTGATCCCCAGCCAGGGAGGTGACATACATGGCCCAGCAGACCTCTCCTGACCCATCTGCTGCTCCCCTCAGCAGTGTATTTCAGTAGCTCTGACTGTTCTGCTCCCCACTATGTCTCTGTGTCTGGAGAATCCTCTCAGTGTCCCCCCACCTCTGGTTTATACCCCAGTTCTTGTAAGCATGAATAAACAAAAAAAATTGTTTGTTTTTTTTTAAAGAAGGCCCTCCTGGGTGGTGCAGCTAGTTAAAGCACAGTACCATGAAGCTAGCCACAGTTGCTTCAGCTTGCATTTGACCCCCTGCCAGGGAGGTGACCCAAGACCTCTCCTGTCCAGCCTGCTGCTCCCCTCAGCAGTGCACTTCATCAGTCTGCCTTTTTTGCTTCCCACTGTGTCTCTGGTGAATCCTCTCACCACCCCTGCACTTCTGATCTGCACCCCAGTTCTGTATGCATAAATTAATAAATCTTTTTAAAAAATGAAGTCCTGGCCCTCCCTGGTGGTGCAGCGGGTTAAAGCACTGCGCTGAGAAGCTAAAGCCACTTCCACATGAGTTCGATCCCGCCTGCCCCGGAGGAGACCACATGGTGTGGCAGACCTCTCCTGACCCCCCCGCTGCTCCCCTCAGCAGTGTACTTCGTTGATCTGCCTGTTCTGCTCCCCACTCTGTCTCTGGTGAAGTCTCTCACTGCCCCTGAGTCTCTGGCCTGTACCCCAGTTCTGGATGTACAAATAAATAAATCTTTAAAAAAAAAAAAAATGAAGTCCTTTCCTGGCCACCTAGCTGATGTTGCCTCATCACTATCATCCTCTGCTACATTACAGGTTATAGCACTAACCACTACTGAAGTGATCTTGCTCACTGTTCTTCCTAGGGGCTAGCAGCCCCTCCCCATCCCTGTCCTCCCACCCCAGCCCTATAATAAGGGTGCCATAAGACCAGAGACTTTGCCTATCCTCCTCAGTGTCTAAACAGTGCTTACTACTGCAGCTGCTCAATAAATATCATTTGAATAGACATATCCAAGGGGCCAAGGCTGACCCTGGACATACCCAGGGACCAGAGTTGAATTTGGGCTCCCCAGTCATGCTGAGGATTCTCCTGCAAAACACTCTTAACTGGGTGGAATTGGCTGTACACCTAGCAAACTAGAGATTGGGAGCCCTAGGTATGCTGCCTGGCGTTTGTGTCTTCTATCCCAGAGGCTGTCTGGAAGCCTCTTTATGCCGGAGCAGGTCACTTAGGTCCTAGCTGATCCCTGCAGATAGGACAGCAGGTCCAGTGTCTCACCCTGTCGCCTAGGTTACTGCAGGAAGATCCTTGTAAGAAGCTAGGACTGGGGACACTGGGATCCCCTTGGGGTCTGGAGATGGGGGGTTAATGGTTCTTGAGTGGGGTGAGGACTAAGTTGTGAGGACTGAGATTTGGAATCTTAGGGCTCCCCGGGATGGGCAGGGAGCTTCGGGTCAGTACACATTATTACCAAGAGAGGAAAGGCTGTGAGCTAGCAGCTATAGGAAGGGTCTTGGGTATGAGGATTTTCCAGGAGGCTGAGGGCTCACTCAGGAGGTACCCAAGGAGGGTGAGGGCACCATGGCTCTTGAAGCCTGGGTGCCAAGGACACCATATTTTTTGAGGGCAGAGATACTCCTGAATCTGTTTTCTCTGAGACCAGCACAAGCCAGTTTTCGTTAAATGGAGCACAGACAAATTCATCTGGAATGCAGCAAGTGGACCGAGACTAGGGGAGAGAGAAGTGCTTTTTCCCTCTGCTCTTCTCTTTTTCTTTTTCCCTGCTAACCATCCCTTTCCCAGAACACCTGCCCCGGCGTGGCTCTTTGACCCTCTCACGCCCCCTGCTGCTCCTTCTTCAGACAGCAGTGGGCAATCTGAAGGGCCAGTAGAGCAGGAGAACCAAATTCCATCTCTTTTCTTCCCCGTTGACCTCTCAGGTTGCTTTGACCAGCCCAAGAGGGAGGAAGCTAAAGTCCCCAAGAGAGTAGATGCTAGGGAAGAAAATGGGCCCTGGCATCCCAGAAAGTGCCATGTATGGGAGTGGGAGGGTGTTGTGAGGGTGTTGGGATTCCAGCCTGAGCAGTCACTACTTCCCCAGGAGACCTTCCTTCACCCACAGGTATAATGGTGAGCGCCTTGGCTTGCAACCTTCCTTAACTCCCTGACTGCTCCTTTATGGCGTTTTTCTGGGCTTCCTGTGATCCAATTATTTGTTAGAATTTGATGGCTGGCTGCTTCCCCCAGGAGACCGTGAGCACAAAGAAGGCAGGAACCAGGGTTGATTCTGTTCATCAGTACAAGCAAATACTCAGCATAATGCCTGGTATATTGCAGGGACACAGTGAACATATATATATATATATATAATTTTCAAATATAATAGTTTATTTTTACATCATTTTGTACATTTCTTTTTCATCTCAATTGTAATCCCCGCGGGTTTCCCATCACCGAGTCACCCGTGTGCCATCACCATAGTCCCGTGCACTTCCCTTCCCCTCCCCGCCCCATTTTTGATCCCATTCCCCACTCCACCCCCACAAAATGTCTCTGGTATATGGCTGTTCATTATTCTTGTTATTTTCTCGCCTGGTCCATTATACTCCTGCTATGAGTGAAACCATCCAGTATTTTTCTTTCTCTTTCTGGCTTATCTCACTAAGCATGATCTTTTCCAGCTCCATCCAAGTTGCTGCAAAAGACATGTGTTTCTTTTTTTTTGGTTGCTGAGTAATATTCCATTGTATATATGTACCACATCTTTTTTATCCAGTCATCTACTTTTGGGCACTTGGGCTGCTTCCATGTTTTCCCAATTGTAAATAAAGCAGCAATAAACATGGAGGTGCAGGAAATATATATATATATATATATATATATATATAATATTTATTTATTTATGCATTCAAGAACTAGAGTATAGGCCAGAGATGTAGGGGGTGAGAAGATTTACCAGAGACAGAGTGGAAAACGGAACAGATGTTCTAAAATACACTGCTGAGGGGGGCAGCAGGTGAGCTGTGCCCTGAGAGTTATCTCCTTGGTCAAGGATCAAACTCATGTTGCAGTGGCTGGTGATAACTAGATAGCAGGGAACAGTAAAGATTTGTTGAATAAATGAATGAATGACAGTAAGTACATTTGAGGAGGATCCTTAGACAGGGGTTTAATGGGTGGTGTCAGTGTCATTACTTAAGCTATAAGGACAGCTGTGAGTCCAGATGTCTTGGCTTCTGTTTAAGGCCTGGTCGATGTCCAACTTCTGGCCTTGTGCCCAAAGGCCATCCAAGCAAAAAGAGGCAGAAGAGGCCTCTCCTAGAGGGGGCAATAGGGTGGGTTAGATCCGGAGAGCCTTTCCACTTTTCCAGTTCTCTAGCTGGAGAGTTTTTGAAGTCAGTCCCACCAGAGGTTCCCTTCCCTTAATCCTTCCCATCTCCCATCCCTTTGGCTATTCCCAGTGGTGTGCTGGGGAATTTAAACAGCATTCTCTTTTACCTGGCAAAGTTCCAAGAAAGAGTTGCCCCTGAGGCTGGACCCAGAGGTTGAGAAGGGAGCCATCATCCAAAGGAAGGAGAGTAAGGATCTCTTTCTTTGGCCCGTGGCTCAAGACCACTCTGGATTCATATAGTTTCAGCTGTAGAGGAAATCCCAAGACCAAGGGCAGATCCAGCCGGGACCCTGCCCCTGACTGGGAAGACAGCACCACCTTCTGCAGAGTACAGAGAACAGGGACAAAGGTAAGGGAGGAAAGAATGACCCACATCTGCCCACATCCACCACAGCAACTTCATTCTGCCGAGTCCTGCCCTTCTTGTACCAGTCAGCTTCACTACCTAAACCCTGCTTCACTTCTCCTGGATTTGCCTTCTACAAAACCAATCCTACCCAAGTAAATATAGAATCTAAGTAAAAGATTTTTGCTGGGCTTCCCTGGTGGCACAAGGGGTTAAAGCCCAGCACTAAGCAGCTATCAGCAGCCACTGCAACATGAATTGGATCCCTGGCCAGGGAGCTGACCCATAGGGAGCAGCAGCTTTCTCCTGCCTTGCCTGCTGCTCCCCTCACCAGTTTCTTTCTTTCTTTTTATAGATTTACTTATTTATGCATACAGAATGGGAGTACAAACCAGAGGTAGAGGGGTGGTAAGAGGATTCACCAAAGACAGAATGGGGAGCAGAACAGGCAGACTGACAGGTACACTGCTGAGGGGAGCAGTGGGCAGGTCAGAAGAGGTCTGCCGTGCCATGTGGGTCAGCTCCAGGGCCAGGGATCGAACTCGCACCGAAGTGGCTGCGGCTAGTTTGCAGTGCTATGTCCTAACCCACTGTGCCACCAGGAAGGGCCCTCAGCAGTTTATTTCTATAGATCCACCTGTTCTGCTCCCTATTCTGTCTCTGGTGAATCCTCTCACCCCTTGTACTTCTAGCTTGTACCCCAGGTTTCCTATGCATAAACAAATAAACCTTAAAAAATTTTTTTTGCTGCTTGCTTGCTGTGGGCAGCTTTGAAATGTCTCTCTCGTCAGCCACCCCCACCTTTAAGCCTTCATAATAATGAGTTTTTGGTGTTCCCTTCCTCCCCACCCCACCACAGCTTTTGGGTTTCACAGAATACTTGATCTTGGAGGTGGAGACTGAGCCAAGAAGGGTCTTCTGGAGTGCCCAGGGCAAGGAGGTAGCCTGAACCTGATGCCAACTTGAGACCCAGGTCCAGAGAGAAGGCCCAGGGGTCTGCCTGAGGATGGGGAATATCTGAGGGTAGAAAGGGGAGGGGAGAAATGATCTTCCTGAGGCCTCAAAGCTGAGATTCACAGAGGGAGGACGCTGGTGGTGAAGGGTGGTGGAAGATGGCAGACAGGTAAAATAGCCTTTACCTTTGAGACTGAATTCTGCACGAGTTCCTGGAGGGAAGAATGTCCCAGGTTGGGACTCTGCAGCACAGCTTCTGAAGCTAGTGGGAGCAGAGGCTGGGGTCTGGGCCTGCGGGTCCAGCCAGTTAGCCCGGCGCAGGCAGCCATCCAGGGCAGGGACCAACTAGAGCCGTTGCAGGAAAGAAGATGTGGGCATCTCGTAATTAGGACATCTGAGCCCCACCCTGGGTTAGCCTTCTCCAAATACACATATTCGGCCTCTCCCCTGCAATCTCATTTCATTCCCTCTTCTCAAAAGTGGAGACTTAGCACCACATGGCCACACCATACAATCTTACCACCTTCGGTCAAGGTTCCCACCCCTGTGATGCATTACCGGCAACCGGAGGTCAGAGACTGGGAACAGCATGCCCCCCAGTGCGATCCTCATCATGGACTGTGGTTTGTTGCTCAAAGACCCAGAGACCTGTCTCAGGGAGAGCACCAACTCCCCATCCACCTCCAGCAGTATTGAGTCCCCGTGGATCCTCACTTCCATCTGCAGGAAGGAGGAGAGAATTAAAATCACAGGCCTCTGGTACCTGCCTCTGCCACTTTCTTCGGAAGCAGCCTACTATAACAGGCTTGAAGAGTCAGCAAGTATCCTTGGCTCACTCAAGACTTGTCACTTAATATACTCACTAAGCTTCAGAATTCCCCTCTGAAAGCATGAGACAAGAATAGCAACTTCAAGAGGGTTTTGGCAGACGAAGGGAGAAGACAGTAGTCAACGGTAAACGGATGCTCACCCTATACCTTGGTTCTGTTCCTCTTCCTTGGACCAGCTCAAGACCCCTTCCTTCAGAACCATATCTGGCTTACCTGATGCCACCTTCCATCATCCAGTCGGGGTCCAGCACCCACTGTAAGCTGGGCCCACTGATTGTGCAGTTGGATCTCAGGCCTGCCATCCCGAAGTCCCAGCATAAACCAGTCATCCTTGGAGTTGGTATCACCATAAAATATCACTCCCTCAGGATCCCAGGTGCTAATCTCAAAGGAGGAGGAGGTTCTGAAAAACAGAAGAAATATGGGGCTAGGGAAGGCGCCGTTTAGGGAGAGGGAAGGAGAGAGAGAGACAGAAAAAGAAGAGTTGATGGCGGATAAGGCCAGGAGCCAAGTTAGGTCAACCCCATACTTTTTTATCTTGGTGAGGTCAAAAGTCATGATGATGATGGGCTCTTGTCCTGGACCATTGCTGAGGCACACAGCAGGAGCATCCTGGCTCTATTAGAAAGAGAAGATAAACAAGCTGGAATAAGCACACACCATAGGTGACAGAGGGAGAAATGTTGTTCCAGGGTGAGAAAGGGAAAGAAAAGAAAGCAGAACTCATTTAAATACACACAAGGGCTGAGCACCCTTCCCAGCTCTGGTACCTGGGTGGGGAGTAAATGTCTCAGGGTCTGTCCCTGGTGACCATGAAGCTGTAGCAGCAACAGCAGCAGCAGCAGCAACACCACAGAGCGAAGACACATGACCAGTGGGTTTCTGATCTCCATAATCAGCTTCTGTCCTCTCCACTACTCAGACAACTCTGAGGAGAATGCATGGGGCGAGGTTTAAAGTTTGCTCTGGGGGAAGGAGGGGTAAGAGAAGGGGCACTGGCCCTGTGGTCCCTCTGAGGACAAATGGGAGGAGGAACAGAGTCCCTTTATTGTCCTCCCTCTCTCCCCCATTGCTGAGAATGTCTGTGAGCTGGGAGAGGACATCCAGTTCCCCTTCCTCCTCTAGCCCCTGACCTGGGTCCTCCTCCCTTCTGCCCAATTGAGAAGGCTGCCTCTATGGGCCTGAGATCTAGTCCTACCCTTCTTCCCAAGCAGCATCATCCATCAGGACTAGAGCTGGGACACGGAAGCCCAAATATCTAGGTGGGTGACTAAGTCATTCCACCCTATGTCTGTAAAATATGAAAAATAATACCTTCTTTGTGAGGTTGCTATGAAATGGGATTGAGATAATGCAAGCACAGTGTCTGGTTATCTGTTTTGAGATCCTCCCTCAGTGTTTTCCCAAGCCTCAGCGCCTCCTCTTATAGGGAGGTATTGTCTAAACGTGATTTTGTTGCTCTGAAGAACCCACCCCCACCCCACTCCACTCCCAAAGAACTTCCCTATCTATTTATTTCAATGCTAGCCATTTGCCAATAGAAATGCACCATTCTCTCCCCTTGACCTATTTTAAAATACAAATGTCCCCAAGAGAAGTAACATTTTTGAGCCGCTCAAGAACGGTAGGAAACAGCTTTCAGAGCTGGGAGTCTAGGGGTCAGCCTAGGGCTTAGGTGGACCTGAACGGATGAGAGGCAGTGAAGGGTAAAGCAGATATCATTGCATATTTCAGTTTAAAAATATATGGGGTGACTTTTGAGCCATGGAATTTCTCCAGTGGAGGTTGGTACATCCAGATAACAACAGCGGGGTGGCCATGGCAGTCCAGCCTTGACCCCTGCACAGTCACAAGACCCGGCGGAGAAGGAAGGAGGTGTGTTTGGGGGCGGGGACATGCCTGTTCTGCAAGCTGATTGGCTGGCGGGTGCGCGCCTGCAGGGACCGAATTCGGAATTCCGGGGCTTGGTGGGTAGGGAAGACCACCTTGTCCGCCCACTCCCTCCACTCAGGGGCAGCCAGATCTCCGCTGCCGCTTCCCAGCCCACGGCGTTAGTTAGTAGGCCCTTTAAGAGACCTTAGAGGTTTCTCCCTTAGGGTCCATTTGCCCTTCGCTCGGCCCTGCAGAACGGAAGTGGGGGTCCTGGACTTCGATCCCAGAACGACGCCATCGGGATGGCTTCCGTGAGGATCCGAGAGGCCAAGGAGGGAGACTGTGGAACTATCCTGAGAATGATTCGGGTGAAGGATGCGGGCCGGAAACCGGGGTCCCAGAGGGGGTCAGCGGCTTGGCTGGAGTGGGGGGGCCGGGACTGTTTAAAAGATGGGGGAAAGGGAGGAGGTGAGAATTGGGAATTCTCCTCCGGGAAGAGCGGGTTCCTTCTACTCTAATCGAGTCTCTGACTCCACGCCGCAGGAACTAGCTGAGTACGAGAAACTCTCAGATCAGGTGAAGATCAGCGAAGAAGGTGGGGTCCGGCACCTGGGTCCAGTGAGCCTGGGGAGGAAATGAGGGGTGGGTTTCTCAACATGCTTCCAGGCTGCGCGCACGACCGGGTCCTCTTTCCCTTTTTGTCACCACTCCGATCCCTGCAGCCCTGAGAGCAGATGGCTTTGGAGAGAATCCTTTCTTTCACTGTTTGGTAGCAGAGATTCTTCCCGCCCCCGGGGAAACACAGGGTAAGAACACTGAGAGGCTCCCCAGAGCCAGCCTCAGGTCTCTTCTCCAGGGTCCCAGCAGTCTGATCCCTTCTCTCTCTTTTCAGGCCCTTGTGTGGTGGGCTTTGGGCTGTATTACTTCGTCTACAGCACGTGGAAGGGACGAAACATTTATCTGGAAGACATCTACGTGATGCCAGAATATCGGGGTACTAGGCAGAGACTGGGGTGGGAAAAACAACTCATAGGTCATCCCCGACACCTTTTCTGATTCCTTTTAAATCAAACAATTTTTGTCCCCCGACAGGTCAGGGGATTGGTTCCAAAATAATAAAAAAGGTGGCTAAGGTAAGGAGATGGATGTTTTCCCAACAAGTTTGGGCCCTGGAAAAGTAAAGATTTATGGGAGGCACCCAGTTTGAACAGAGGGTAAGGATCCTTTTCCTTTTAACCATAGGAAAGTGAGTGATGTATTCTTCCACAGGTGGCTCTGGATAAGGGCTGCTCCCAGTTCCGCCTGGCAGTGCTTGACTGGAACAAGGGGGCCATGGACTTATATAAGGCCCTGGGAGCCCAAGATCTGACTGACGCTGAGGGCTGGCACTCCTTTCGCTTCGAAGGACAGGCGATGAGAGAGCTGGCAGGAAAGTGATGCTATCCATCCCTTGGGGATCTCTCAAGCACTCCTCAGAGACCATCTCCACAGACAGGGGCCTCCCTGAAAGAAGGGTTGGGGGTGAATATTTACAAAGTACAGAAAAGAGCAAAACTGAAGGAGAGGGTTTGTTGGTAGTGAAAAATAAATGAGAATATATCCTAATGTGGTGTTGCCCAGAGCAATTGATGACGCCATAAGCTTTTGCCTCTTTACAGCCCTTCTAAAAATGTTCTGGTCAATGGATGTTGTTCTTAGGGTAAAGGTGGGCTCGAGATGACTTTAACTCTCAGTGCGTGAGTTTTGGCTTTGGCCTGTGAGTCAGCTTGGCATAGCAGGGTTGTTACCAGGTTTGGGCCTCTGATTCAAGCCTTCAGTGCACTGAGCTGTTTAGGATCAAAGTCAGGCAGTTGCTCCACCTACTCAACAGATGGAGGAGGCTGCCACCTGGTGGCATATCAGTGGCACTGGGAATGACCACATACCCCAACTTTTAAATCGTCTCAGCCACTTAGTGTTTTTTCTATTTCAAAAGTCACAAAGTCTTTATTTTCAGTTCTAACTAAACCTCTAGGGTCCATGCTGATAAGAAGGGAAATAGAGGTATATCCTGCTTTAAGCAGATTTGTTGTAAAAAAATATAAGACAAAATAAAATTAGAATTCATAGCCTTATTTACGTAATCAGTACTAAATCTTTGGTATCAGTTCTTCAGACTTTTTCAACGTTATAAACTATGTATAATTAATTAAGTAGGTAGAACTTGATGGGATCATACTCTTGCAACCTGCTTTTTTCATGATACAATATATCAGATACATCTCTGTATGCTACTAAACATACCTCTGTCAACATTTTTTATATATATATTCTAAAGATACATATTTATTTATGTATACAAGAACTGGGGGTGTAGGTTAGAGGTGCAGGGGAATGAGAGGGTTCACCAGAGGGGAGCAGAACAGGCAGAACTACTGAGGAGAGCAGTGGTCAAGACAGGAGTGGTCTGTGCCATGTAGGTCAGCTTCCTGGCCAGGGATGGGACTCAGGCCATGGCAGTAATAGCACTGAGACTTCACCCGTAGGCCGCCAGGGAGGCCCTGCCATCAATCACTTTTTTTTTTTTTTTTTAGATTTATTTATGCATACAAGAACTGGGGTGTAGGGGCCCTCCCTGGTGGTGCAGTGAGTTTAAGCACAGCTCTATGATGCTATCGGCAGCCATTGTAGCACACGTTCGATCCAGCCAGGGAGGTGATCCACACGGTAGCCCCCACCCTTATCACTTCTGATGGGGATATATTATTTGTTTTGTGGATGTATGATTGGTTAATAGTCATGATTTAGACACTCAAAGGGGACAGGCAGCCAACATAAATGTATAAATCTAAGAAACAGGATCTGTGGACATCTAAAGGGTTGGTTCATCTTAAAATTAAAAAAGAAAAAAGGGCCCTCCCTGGTTGCATGGGTTAAAGTGCAGCACTGTGAAACTGGCCGCTTCGGTGCCAGCTCTATCCCCAGGTGCAGGAGACCTCTCCTGTCCCGTCCGTTGCTCCCCTCAGCAGTGTACTTCATAGATTTGCTTGTTCTGCTCCCTACTCTGGCTATGGTGAATCCTCTCACCACCCCTGCACCGCTGGCCTGTACCCCAGTTCTGTATGCATAAATAAATAAATCCCCCCCCCAAAAAAAAGTCAAATCAAACACTTCAGGGGCTCAGATTTTCTATAGTGGTACCCTCTTCTGCCCTTAAAAATAATTAACTGCAAATAGGCCTTTGGGACAATTTTGATCAAAAGATAGTAAATTTTGGCCAGCTAATGTCATTAGCTCAACCTGGCAGGAATTAGTATCTTAAATATGATCCATTTCACCTGATGATGGGATTTCATAGATTTTAGTGCAAAATAAATTATTTCTGGAAAGATGCATGTATGAGCCAGGAATGTCATTGCATCTAGGGGAAAATGAATAAAAGAAACTTTAAACAAAATGTAGAAGAAAAAAGTGAGGTAGGAAATTTAATATTTCTAAAATTTATCTTGTCCCTCATTTGTTTTGCTTTTGTTTTGGTAAGCTTCTTATGTTACTCTCTCATCTTGACCCCAGATCATGGTATACATTCTTATCTCTCTAAGGGTATCCATGGTAATTAAAAAAAAAAATTTTTTTTTGTTTTAAAGATTTATTTGTTTATGTGTACAGAACTGGGATATAGGGCAGAGGTATAGGGGTGGTGAGAGGATTCACCAGAGACAGAGTGGGGACCAGAAGAGGCAGATAGAGTGAAGTACACTTCTGAGGGGAGCAGAGGGTGGGTCAGGAGAGGTCTGCCACGCCATGTGGGCCACCTCCCTGGCTGGGAATTGAACTTATGCTGCAGTGGCTGTGATAGCTTCATAATGCTGTCCTTTAATCCATTGAGCTACCAGGGAGGACCCTAAAGATTTATTTATTTATACATACAGAACCTGTTGTGCCACCAGGGAAGGCATAGGTATTCATGGTAATTGTAACAAAAATGTTTTTTGTTTTTGTATAATCTATTTCTTCTGAACTATTATTTCCCTTTATGTGTCTGTTTTGGCTTTCATTTTAGAAGATTCTTTCATTTCTTTAAATGTCTGGTGATAGTTATCTGCTTATATTTAAGACTGGGACACTATAAAGTACTGATTGGATACGATACGTGTACATGTGAGGAAGAGGGAGTTCTGGATAACTATGACTTCACTGTAGTGAGCTATGCCATTTCCTTGAGAAGCCCCAGATATTAGTAACATTACTTTTCTTCTTCTTGTCTGATGAGACCTCAGAGAAGACTTTTTAAAACTGCTACTTGGAGGATAGAAGCTTGGCTTTAGGTATTTTTGGGGCTGGGTGAAGAAGTAGTCTTGGGGAAAAGTCTCACCATTCAGTACATAAATCCCCATTTTCAGTCTTTAACTGTCTATTCATGTGTCTATTTTTTTTTCTTTCCCTTTTTTGTTTTACATTTTGAAAGGACAGGTTTATTAGGAAAAAAAGAAAGGAAAAAGGACACCTGAATAATCAAAGGTGGGCAGGGAGATGCCACATAGCTCTGTTTTCCTACCAATCTCTAGAAGTTGCAAGCTGGGGCATTCTGTTACCACATCCTTTATAATCCAGCTAGATTAATCTGTAGACTTACGGGGGAGTCTACAGATATTTTTGTATATTCCCACTGTAGAAAGTCCAAATTTCTAAGTATGTTTCAATCCCTCCACTCCAAGCTCTGGCCCAAACCAACCATCCAGTCACAGCAGTCCAAAGAGGCTCAAACCATGTTAGATTCAGTACCTCATAGACACTGTACTGTCCCCTGGCCTTGTACACATGTTATTCTCGTGCCTGAAGTGCTATTCTTCCTTTTCCTTTTCCATCCTTTACCTGAATGAACAATAACTAGTGCAGATAAAAAAAGTCAAACCTAAGAGGACTGTTGGTCTTCTTGAAAGTTTGTTGATGGTTCAATTTTAAAACAAAACCCAGCTACTTATTGCTTAAGAGTCTAATCCCACACTCCAGTCTAACAGCCAGCACTCTTTATAATCTGCCCCACTTAATTTCTCTAACTCTTCTTTCCTAGACCTTATCAGAATCCCGAACCTTTTTAGGTACTCTTGAGAGTACCCTTTCAGGGAACTCTTTGGTCAGCCCTTTAGTTTTTTAAAGGTTTATTTTTATTTATACACACAGAATTGGAGTATAGGACAGAGGTGGAGGGGTAGTGAGAGAATTCACCAGAGACAGAGTGGGGAGCTGAACAGGCAGATGTACTGAAATACACTGCTGAGGGGAGCGGTGGGTGGGTCAGGAAGGTCTGCCGAGCCATGTGGGTCACCTAGCCCTGGCTAAGGATCAAATTGGTGCTGCAGTGGCTGTGGATAACTTCACAGTGTTCTGCTTTAACCTGTTTCACCACGTGGGAGGGCCTTGAATAGTGTATTTTTAATAAAACCAAACTCATAAAACAACTCACCAGCTTCTCCAAACCTTTGTCTCCTTTGTTCTCTCATCCCTGATTGGAATCACTGATCACTAAGTAATCAAATCTGGAAATTGTCCTGTGAATCTTCCATTTGTTTGATGGCTCTTATCCCCTCACCCATCCTCACTCATCATCAATTGTGAATCTACTACAAATTTAATATACCACCATTGCCTATAGCCCTAATCCAGGTCAGGATCCTATTTCTCACCTGCAACGACTTCTCACAGGACTGCCTTGGGAACCACCCTTAACTATTCAATCTGTTCTCCACTCTAGTAAAGTGCAAAGCTTAGCACCTTATACTCAGTCGCTTTCCATTATTGATGAAGTAAGAGTCCTGATTTAATCTGCATTACAAATCCTTCAGTCTAGTTTCCAACAACTCTTTAAGTCAAATGCTATTGAACTAGTTGTGGTTTCCCAAAAGACATGCTCTTTCTGTTGCTCTGCATCATTATATTCCTGTGTCCTCAAGAATACTTTCATTGCACTTTTCCTCTATTGAACTCCCATTGATCCTTCACATCTCAGTTTGCATCACCTCTGCAGTAATCTCACTAACCACTTCGAAAAACTAACCATTGTCTCCTGGGGACTCCCTCTATATCTGGCCCTCATTGCTACCATATCTTCATACAACTCTATGCTCTTATTTGTTTAAACTTATTTTTTAATCATCTGCTCCTGTCCCAATATATTATAAATTCCTTGAAATCAGGGAACACACCTTGTCTTTGTATTCCTAGCACTTAGAATAGTGACTGGAACACAGCGAGGGCTAAATATTTGCTAAATGATTAATGTACGACACATGATTCTAGTGCATTTAATTCACTTCTACCTAAGTTTCTTATATTCAAAATGCCGAGCCTTTCCTTATATTTTTATTCCACAACATTTTTTTCTATTTTGAATTTCCTCAGCATTTAGGTAACAAATCTTATGCTAATATAAATTGCTTTTCGGTGATTCCTTGAAATTTTTCTTTAACCTTTCATTATATACGTTGTCAGCTTCTCGCAAGGCAAAAACGTGACTCTTAAACCTTCCATAGCACACAGACTTAAAGAAACTCAAGCATTCACATAAGCGTGTGGACAGTGGTGAAGTACAGTGCATGCGCATTAGGCAACCCCCCCCCTTTTTTTTTTTTTTTTTTGCTTCTGGACCCATTTTTTTCCTTTGGAGCGTGCGCACCAAGAAAGACAAAGGTAGGGAAAGTGACCAAGCAGTCATTTAGGCGCATGCCCATCGCTAAGGCGTCCCAGGCTGGTGGAACTCCGTGGTGAAGTGGGTGTGGTCTGACTAGGAGCGGAAACCCAATCCGACACAGTGAACTCAGTCCCTCCCTCCCCATGATTGGTTAGCTATCAGTGTTGTGGGGCGGGGAAAGGAAGAGATGGGGTGGTGGAGTGGTGGGGTGGCGAAGAAAGAAAGCTAATCTCGTTTTGCGCAAGCGCAAGTAAGCGACCAGGAGGGGGCGTGAGAGAGTGAAAGGGAGTGTGGAAGCCCTGATGCGCTGGCGAGCGCGAGCTAGGTCGACAACCTTGACGCCTGCGCCGTGGCCCTCAGGGCCCC